GTTGAATGCTGGCTGAACACACAAAGAGCAGAATAGTTCAGCAGAAAAACAGCCTGAGAGAGACTCTTGGTCTGTTTGGCAGGAAGGTAAATGTACTTTACTTCATCCGTCCCCTGGGGATAACCTGGCATGGCTACACTCTGTATATTAACACCTCAGCACAGGCCTGCAGACGAGTATACGTGTGCACTCACACAGTGAGTCAACACTGTTGTTGACGTCTAAGCAGGTAAGCAACTACACAAATTACATCAGAGAGGGGACATCACGAGGACTAGACAGTGTGTTGCTATTCACATGTGAGTCGCCATGATGCAGTTTTTAGGTATGGAGTGTTGTTCCTGGTTAAGACCGGCTCTGAGATCTATGAATGGAGGGACGACAGCACAGCTAAGAAGAAGAAATTCATTCCTAAGACATCATGTGCAGTTGGTGGTGAGAGGGGAAACAAAAACAGGTAGATGAAACGAGAACCAAACTGAACTCTGTTGGCTGGAAACATGAAAAGAATCCAAACACAACACTGACATAAACGTAGGAACATATTCAAACCTGTGATAACGAGTGAGGATGTCCATCAATCAGGGCGTCTTTCCTCATCTCACCTGGCACCGTCTGCTTCTGGATGTGAGGAGACTTGATTTGTCTTCAGAGAAAAATGGATGACAACAGATAAACAAGTGTTTGTTATACATCAATGATCAAAATCTGAAATACATTAAACGACTAAATTAAGTGCTATAAGATGCCGCTATACAGTCATTTGAAAGTACAAAACTGCTTGTTTTTTTTGACATGTTTGAGCCTTTTAAAGACGACAATTATCCATAAAAATATTCATCAAAATTACCATTTTCTTCAATAAAAAAGAAGAGGGGAAATAATTAATCAAACCTTCAACACCATGCAAGTAGAAAAACTGCTTATGGACGCCTACAGAATGAGTCTAGCGAGTGATTGCTTGTACAAATGCAAGAAACTCTTCAAACGTTCTGCAGATGAAGACGTTTTGCATGAACGAGCGGTCAAAAAACTGAACAAACAGATGCCACAAACACATGCAACATCTTTTTAAGTCAAGAGTGGACTGGCTTCCACCTCAGAAAAATGGTGCACCAGTTGAAATGTATGTTCTTAAAATGTATGACAAAACCAATTTTCCTTGAGGTTTTCTTCAAGTGTTGCCTTTGGACGTAGTTACTGTATCAAAGAGAATCAAAACATTAACCAACTGTGCCAGAAAAGTGGAAGATTGTCTTTATTAGGCCCCATCAGGAAACACATTTTTTGCATTTAAGCTATCCTTTGTATTGGGAACAATGGGAAGCCAGTGTGCCATCGGGGACCAAGATTTCTGCATCCGTATGTTGGAGTGTCCTTGGGCAAGAGACTAAAACCGAAGGACCTCCCTATGCACCCTTACGGGTTTCCATGTGTGCACGAGCTTTAAAAATAAGTCTAAGTGCAGCTTGCAGTGCACTTTGAGTACAACGTAAAGGGGTGAAAAGCATTAAAAACTAGAGTAGGTT